CAGTCAAACGTTACAGCTGTGACCCTAAAAGAAGACGTAGATGAAGAAGCCGACTCGGAGCATGATTTGAATTCCTTTGTTTGAAATTTTGTTTCCAAGCAGTGCTGTGAATCGTACGAGCTGTGATTCTGTCCTTATTTTGTCGTGCATATGTGGGGTAACTTTGCTAAGTGTGAAAATATTTTGACAAGTGCCACGCCCCGGCCTGTGCGATGCTTACCATAATGTCTATAAAACAGGAAGTGATTTCTGCTGGTGGAACGGACACCAGAACAGATAGATCTATGATTATTATGCTTCTGATTATTATTATTATTATTATGGTGACTTCTTATTATTCTACTGTATCATCATTGCGACCATGATTATTCTCATAATCATTTAAGAGTCTATTGTTTCGCCATGTATTTTTTATGTTGAGATTTTTATTTTAGTTTTCTTTTTATTAAAGGTAAAAAGAACTAACAGACATCCAGGCTCTGCTTCGGTTTTTTTCATCTCCGACGATGAAGCTGTGAATTATTTGTTGGCAAACAGTCACATTTATATCTCTGAATAGACACACGGTAGTCACATTTCTGATTTCAACCAAATAAAGTGGAGCAAGACAACAAAACAGGCTACAGTTACATTCTCGAAGTGTGTTTGGAACAATTTATGACATTCTTGGGTCAAAATTTGAATTTTTTTTTTCTGTAGAGATGACAGGAACTACAAAAACACTTGGTCAGCATCAGGCTTTACTGTGAAGAAAAACCGATGATGGGTTTATGAAGACTGAACACTGGTTTTATCTTGAGGGCCATTTAAGTGAACATTCAGACCGGGGAAACTAATCCAGCCAACAGTCGCCTCAAGGCGCATGCTCAGCAGTGTTGGGCAAGTTACTTTGAAAAAGTAATTAATTATAGTTACTAGTTCTTCAAAAAAGTAACTAAGTTAGTAACTGAGTTACAAGATTCTAAAAGTAATTAATTACTTGAAAAGGAACTATTGCGTTACTTTAAAACATTTTGAACCCTCTGGGGTCCCGGTTATAATCGGCCATATTTAACTACTTTTGATGTTTCCTCCACATTTCACCTTTAAAAATTATTTATTTGTCTTGTTTGGTATCATTCTTTTCAGCACAACCTCACGTGTCTGAATTTACAGTTATGATTTCATTTTGACAAACTGTATTAACATAGTTGATCTAAAATCAGACAAAAAACATAAA